TCGCATTATACTGGTGTTTTTGCGTTAGGATTTCCTTTATCCTTTTACTGATTAAGTGGAGTGAAATGGATCCGAATGTGAAGCCACAGACCTTGGCTGAGACTTTTGACCGAGCCAACAACAGTTCTATCCCAGAGTATAATGTAGCTGTCAAAACTTTGTTGACTTATCTTATGTTTGTCCTCCCCCACGCTCATCGTTCATCCAAAAGAAAAGGCTGTTTTGTAAGGGGCTGATTACAGGACATATGAGCCAAGCAGGTTCAATTTGTCGAGAACTTGGCACGTTGCTCCCCCATGGATCGCTTATTGTGATGTGATCTCAGTTTCGCCATATAAACTTCCATGAGCCCATAATGGTCCTGATACCGTAAATCCAGGAGGGCTCCTGGTAAATCCTCTATTTACCCCACTCTCAAATTAGCCCCCTCCCCATGATAACCCCCCCTACCCTCCCCTAATTATTCTTCACTAATAAATGATAGATTGTGTTAATCAATCACGACTTAAAACTTCTTGTGGGCTCATCCGGGGTGGTTTATTTACCAACTGGAAGTTCGGATTTGATTCTCATACTCGGCTGCCTGACTTCCAAACGTCTTGTACTTGAGTTTTTCTACTTTGTGTTTTAATTCTTTACAGAGAACTGATACCATCGTCCTTTCTAAATTAAATAAGCCCCCATGTCTCTATTAAGCCCCGCCTCAAATGGGCTTGAAATAAATAAGCCCCCCGGTGAGCTTAATAGAGGATGTACGGTTGTTCTATATATCGGACAGGAGCCGATGGTGTCCGCAGTTGCCGAGCAACAAAACCAATAAGTACCCCTTAGGGCGCTTCCATTTTCTCATTTGGTCATTTTTCGTTGTGCTTTCTCTGGTTAAATCTTCCTATTTCTTCTTTGAACGGTGACGGGGCCATATTTTTTCTTCAGAAACCTGTATATGTACGTGCACCATGATCGGGTTGGCAGATACAAAAATCCGACCGAGGAGCTTGAGCTTTAAGCCCAGCACTGGGGACAAGGGAAAAATTTATTTCCTTGCAGGAAACTAATTTAAGTCGCAATTGGGTGCAGTAAATTAAAATATAACCGAAGTAGATCGATCTGATCACACCGAGGTCCAACCACATTTTTATATTGAGTACTATTTTTGTCAGAAAAGGTACCACATATACCTAGTTTAGAACTTTGCATTCCTTTTAACTGCTATAAATAGTCTGTCTTTAAAGTATTAAATACATCACAAACCAGAACATTTTCTCCACTTTGTTACAGCCATAAAATCCTTCTGCAGGTCTTGCCTCTGGACCTCTCTTGTGCCCTTCAACAATTCGATTTCGAGTAATATTAAGTAATATTCTAATAAAAAGCAGCTCGATAAATAACTGAGATATGTCACAAATCTTAAAAAGTTAAACATGCTTATCGATCCCTCGTATCCAATCCTGTTACTTCATCGCTTTCAAAAATTTATATTTTCATAGTTGGGAATTCGGTGAGCTTTTCTATCGGATACACTTAAACGGGAAGGCTAATCCACGAAAGAAATTGTTGGCTCACGGGAAATGGCGACTGTTTCGAATATTCCACTGCGTATGGGCTTGAACCCGGGCCGGAGAGCGTTGTTATTGTTTGTTTTGTTTTGTTTTTTTTTAACATTCGTCACACTCGTCACAAAATCAACACTGTTCAGCCGGACAACACCCATCACAGGTAAAACACCAGTATTTTTTTCTTAATATTTCTTTTTTGATGTATATGAAAAATAAGATGGGATTAATACTGACGAAACGAGCACACGTTTTTCTCACTAATACTTCACGATACTTTTATTTACCCTACAACTAATGTCAAAAACTTAAAACACAAAACATAAAATTTTTTTAACTTTTACCTGTGTTTTCACAATTCTTGTGAAATTTGACATGTATTTTCTCGGGCTCCCATGAGAAATTGTCATCTATAACCCTTGAAAAGTTTAAAAAAATGCGATATGTTTGAATTATATATTATTCTGGTACAAGCTTTTTGTCCACTGAAATTTAAAATCACTCAATTTCCTGGTGGATTCTGTCTTAAGCTATTAAAATTCAAAAATTTTGACTGTGAAGCTTTCATTGAAGACATAAAAGAGACACCTTTCCACTTTGCTTCTCTTATGGATGACCCAAACGAGATGTGGGATGTCTAGAAATCTTTATTCCTGGAACTTGTAAATAAACATGCCCCGATGAGGAAAAGAAAAGTGAAAAGTACATCTTCACCGTGGATAACATCTGAACTGAGGCAGAAGATAAGGAAGCGCGACTTTTTAAGAAAGCAAGCAGTTAAGCAGAATTCTCATCAAGCGTGGAACGATTATAAAAAGGCGAGAAATGAAGTAAATGCTAGTATTAATTATAGCATTCAGAAGCATAGTGGTAATCTGAAGGAAACTTGGAAGGTAATAAATAGTTCCCCGGGACGCAAGCCTGAAACGAAATGAACTCGTTTATGAGGGCAAAGATTTTGCAGAAAAAAAAAGATATAGCTGAACAAATGAATAACTACTTTTGTTCGCTAGGTAGTAAACTGGCATCTGGTATTCCGTATACTGGTAATCAACCAGAGGATTCAAATTTTTATTTCCGCCCTGTAAATGTAGGATACATCCACAACCTTATCTCTAATCTCAAACCCACAGTAAGTTGTGGGTTAGATAATATTTCTATTAGACAAAGCTTTGTAGTCCGTATATCTCAGACTTTATATGTGATATTATAAATCCATGCTGGAGATTGGAATATTTCCTGATGAATGGAAAAAGGCAAAAGTACATCCTATTTTTAAGTCCGATGAAAGAAATATCCCAAGCAAATATACACCGATTTCTATTCTACCTAACCCTATCGAAAATTATAGAAAGGGTCATGCACACTCAGCTGTTAGAGTATTATCAAGCAGGTAATCTTTTAACTGAGTCTCAATCTGGCTTTAGACCTATTCAACCTCTACAACTTTGATAAGTGCAGTAAACCTTTGGCTTACCAACATGGATGCTGGTAAACTTAATGGTAGTATAGTTATTGACATAAAGAAAGCCTTTGACACTGTTGACCACAACATCTTGCTACGCAAACTTTGTTGTTATTGCTCTTCAGTTGCTTAAATTACCGTAAAAATCCGAAAATAAGCCCCGGGGCTTATATCTTTCAAAGGCCTTTTGTGAGGGGCTTATTTTTGGAGGGGCTTATATTCGGAGGGGCTTATCTACGGAGAGAAATTTGCGTTTCAAAATCGATTGGGCTAGCCGTATAGTTGGAGGTAGATTTACCGTTTTTGCTTTGTTATACTTTGTATTTGAGGCCGCAATTTTCCAAGTACAAGCCCCCGGGGGGCTTATATCTGGAGGGGCGATTTAACGTTGGGTTTTTTGCGTTACCGGTTTGGGGGGCTTTTATTTGGAGGGGCTTATATATGGAGGGGCTTATTTTCGGAAGTTTACGGTATATTTGACTGATAAAACACAGAGATGCTATGTAAATGGAGTCTTATCCACAGAACAATATGTTTTATGTGGCATTCCTACGGGCTCAATACTTGGACCACTTTTGTTTATAATTTATAAAACGACTTTCCTAGATGTCTACAGCACACAAGACCTGGTATGTTTGCCGATGATGCATATATAACTACAGCTCATGAAGATATCTCCACAATTGAATGTTCCTCAAATAGTGATTTAACTGCTGTACATATTTGGCTTAAGACTATCAAATTAAGTTGTAATATTTCCAAAATTAGTTATTTGACAATTGTGTCTCTGCAAAACTTGGCAAAAGCCAAGTTCATGAATGTAAAGATGGATGATAAACCTATTGAACATAAGCCTTCTACTAAGTTACTGGGGATCATATTGATGGAATGCTATCCTGAGATAATCAGATCAAACTTATTTCATCTAAAGTCTCCAATAGCTTGTGAATGCTGTATTTAGCTAGAAAACTAACCGATAATCCAGAGACTCTTAGAACTATTTACTATTCACTTGTCCAGCCCTAGTTTGATTATTGTGATGCTGTATGGAGTGACTGCTCCAAAACACGTGCAGACAAATTACAAAAGTTGCAAAACAGAGCAGCACGGACTATTACTTGGGGTGATTACTCTATCAGATCATCAGGTGTACTAAATTCTCTAGAGTGTTCTAGCTTAGAAGAAAGAAGAAAAAGGCACTTGTTAATTATGATGATTGTTAGCTAAGGTTATTACTGGACAAATTCAAATCTGTCAGAATTGTGTTTGTTTTTCATAGCGGTGTAGGAAGTGCCTTAGCACTGGCGGAACTAAGGTCATTGTTAGTCAAATTCAAATATGTCAGAGTTCTGTTTGCTTCAAGTGCTGTAGCAAGTGGCTCAGTACCAGAAGAACCAAGGTTATTCCGACACAAATTTAATTACATAAAAAGTTGCATTTGTTTCAACTGCTTTACCAAGTGACTCTTCACCGGCAGGACCAAAGTAATTACCATGCAAACCCAAATTCGTCAGGGTTGTGTTTGTTTTTAGCGGTGTTGCAAGTGACTCAGCTTCTACAGAGCCAAGGTTATTAAAACACAAATCCAAATTTGTCAGAGTTGTGTTTGTTTTAAGCGCTGTAGCAAGTGACTCAGCACCGGCAGGACCAATGTTGTTGAGGAAAAAGATACAAATTTCTCAGAGTTGTGTTTGTTTTAAGCGCTGCAGCAAGTGACTCAGCAAAGGCAGGACCAATGTTGTTGAGGAGAAAGATACAAATTTCTCAGAGTTTTGTTTGTTTTAAGCGCTGTAGCAAGTGACTCAGCACCGGCAGGACCAATGTTATTGGCAGAGAGATCCAAAATTGTCCGAGTTGTGTTTGTTTTAAGCGTTGTAGCAAGTGACTCAGCACCGGAAGGACCAATGTTATTGGCAGATAGATCCAAAATTGTCAGAGTTGTGTTTATTTTAATCACGGCAGCAAGCACTGCAGCAGCAGCATCATCTATACCTTGCTGTTGAAGATTCTGAGCCTGTTGAAGTTCCAGACATGTGCCAAATGTACGTGCCAATTCTATATGAAAATAACTGTTTTCAATTTTGCATTCTTTAATGCTCTCAAGTGCAACAAGCAAACATTCTTTCACCTCAGCTTTGTTTACCTCATTCGCTATGCAGCTGATAAGGGCTACTGCACTTTCTTCACACCTAACTGTTAGTAGACCGCATGTAAATTTCAATACCTCTCTAAGCTCTCGGAAATATCTTGTGTCGGTGACCAATATTTCAGGACTGGTTTCCTTGCTCACAAGTTGGCAACAAAGATAATGTGCCGCAAAGAATTCTTGAAAACTCTTATGCGTAAAGCCGTAGCACACACACGGTCTTCGTTTGCTGCTTCCAGGTTGAGCTGACAGAAAGCCAAATCCAGGTAGGTCGACATCTTTTTTAGCAAGTTTTTTGTCCTCAAAGTACATATTGTCTTCATACAGGCCGTTTATAGCTATCAAGCCTAGGAGTTTCAACTGATCTTTATAGATTTCAATCAGATCTTCATCATTTTCGACTGGAAGACCTTTCTTTTTCCCGTATCTGATAAGAACACATTGTGCTATTTCCAAATACAACTGAGTTCTACTTTCAGGTAAAATACCTTGAAAGTCTTCGCAAAGAAGGCAAAGCAGTGCAGTGTTTTATGGGTTCGCCGTCATCTCTTTAAGCCTTTTCTCATTTTGTATTCTATCCAAGAGCTTTTCGGCCAAATCTTCCTTTCCGGAAAAATATTCGTGAATATATTCTTCACTATCTTGATAAGTGAAACCTTCAATCTCTAGCAGAGTGTCACAAACCTTTCTCATAGGTATCCCAGCCTCGAGTCGCGCTGTAACCACAAGGTGACATAGAGGAAACATTTTACCTTGTATGATGTCGGTAAACTCCGGCAGTTTGCTCAAAGGTAACTCGTCCAATCCGTCAAGTATCAGTAGAACCTTTGATTGATTTTGCCGAATGAAGTCGAAGAATTTCTCTCTTTCCTTTCGGCGGATTTCACCTGGCAAAAACTGATCGTCAATGGCTCCCCAAAGGTCGGAATCGATCTCAACATCACGGCATTTCAGCAAGAGTACCATTTCAAATTCCGGAAAGCAATCTCCTTCGTTTTTTTTTATTTATAGCCCAGTTGTAAGCAACCTTATTACAGTATGTCGTCTTTCCCATACCTGGCTTTCCTTCGATCAATACCTTACTAGGTTGTTCGCATTCTTCGTGGGGATTGAAGATTTCAGTCGTTTCAATAACTCTTTGCTCCGCTGTTGCTCTCGCCTTTTTCTCTCTGCTGACTATACGAAGCCGTGTATAAATATCGCTGAGTTGAAACTGAAAGTCTTCGCACCAAGAAAAGGGCGCGAGCCATCCCTCATGACGTTTTTACTTTTGGCGAATGATTTCAATATGCTTGGCAACCAAATCAGCTGTTGAGAATAAATGAGAACAAAACTTTGTTGTAGATATTTGTCTAAAACAGTTTGGTTTGCAACTTTCTAAGTCCGTAAAATGAATGAATAGAACTATTCGTATAACTTTGCTTGGAAAAGGCAACTTGGTAAGCAAAAGTTAGCTTTTACTAATTAGGCAATGTTTACAACCTTGAAAGCAATGAGCGTAAAAAATTCCAAACTAGTGAGGGGTGGGGGGGGGGGGGCAATAAGGAAATGGAAAATGGCAAAGGCCCTATTTTTGATTTAACGACAGCCTTTTAGCAGACCACTGAAAATTGCGAGAAGCAAGGAAAATAGACTACCGCTTATGAACTATAGATTAGGGTGTTTGAGGACTCACAGTACCCTATTTTACCATTGGGTTGATAGAGTTTAAAAACCATCTGTTTTTTGATGCAAAATTAAGACTTGCTGATAATATTTTTAAAACGTTTGGCGACATCTCGGTACATTTGAAAGCAATATGGCCACCATTCTAGTAGGTAACCTGTGTAGCAGGCATTATGTACCCCACCGCATATACTAGGCTACTGGTATAGGCGGCTCCAACGCCACGATCTTACGGAAAAATCAGGGTAGGGCGTTCAAGATTTTTCATCCGTCATGCCTCTCGCTGAAATTATTATTATATTAATTTAAGACGAATGAATAAGTTGCAGCAAGTTGCCGGTAATAATAGAACCTTTATTTCTGCTTCCTGTTGGACTAGCAACGACTTGGTAACTGGGATACGGGTGCATGTTCGTCGACATAACTAAGATAGTACGCGCATTCTGATTGGTTAAAAACCTATGGTTTATTGTGCAGGTAAACTCATAGGAAACTTAAATTTATGGTATATTTTAACTTGGGGTGTTGTGAGAACACTCGAAGAACTTGTAAACTTTTCTTGTGTTCTCCCAATATCCCGAGTGGGTTATCACGCTGGTAAACCAATAGAAAGTGTGGTCTATCGCTTAAATACCTTCCACTCTATTAAGCTGGTCCTTAATAAAAGTAAAATAATGAAATATTCATCTATACCTTTCATTTTATCTATTTGGTCTTGAATGTTGTCTTCTTTCCTTTCCTTTGCCTCACTGTAATGCTTCTCCGTATCTGGATCCATAGTCTCAGTTTTTAGTTTTGCGATAGCAGCTGCATCTACACCCAGTGCAATCAGTGCGGCACTTATATCCCTCCACAATGAATTAAATGTTGGATCGTCCACAGACGCCTGGCTGGCATGCCCATAGACCGTGTTCCTATAATACTTCACTCTGGCTATGTTAGCCTCAACACTTGAGTCTAAAGCAGGTGGCAGACTGTCCCAGCCTGTGGCAGGAGCAGCCAGGCCACAGACGTTCCTCAGTAGCACCATCAGTAACGTGATGTCAAAGTCTCCTGATGTTACATTGACAAACCTTTCAATTTTTATTAATCCTCAACGAAATATGGTCAAGTTAGGAACCACAAGAAATACAACTAAAGCATGTCTGGTTCTCGATGCGGGAATGTCATTTGCATTTACAAAGGAGAGTGATGGTGTAAATCTAGAAATTAATCTAAACATTGTCATCAATATGATTTCTTAAAAGGAATAAATAGTACCCACTAAATGTCGTGCAGCCTCAAGGAAAGACCAAGAAAAGAGACCAGTGATGACAAAGAACCGAACTTATCCTAAACATGAATCGATCGCTTTCAGGCTTGAAAACACGAAACAACATGCGTTCATGTACTCGGATACTCGCCAACAGAAACTGTTTAAAGGCTAACAACTGATCAATATACTGAGAAGAAGTCTTTTAAGATCGCTTTTAACTGCAGCCAGTTGTTCAATATATCCTAACTTAGGAGAAACTATACCATTCTATGATCAGAACCTAAAATATGCTAAGACATTAAATTCTCGTTCAACTCACTTTCTCTTCGTTAAAGACTTTTCGTCGCTTATCTGAATTATTTGGCAGCTTCAGGGTCGTTTAGGTAGAAAGTCACAGGATGCATCTAACGCAGAGAAAAGGGCTATTTTGAAACGTGCCGACTAGTTCTGGGCAACTCATAACAGTAAGGATAGAGAATGAATGGCGTAGATGTCCAGGACTTTAAAACTGTTGTTCGTATGTTCGTAAAAATTGAAGAAGGGGCTTCTGTGATTCATCTTAGCTGATCGTTTATGGAGGCCACGTGATTATTCCCGGAATGTGTGGAAAAGGATTTGATTGGCTGTTACTCGTAGATCACTTCATCATCATGTAAGTAAGGGATTTTGGTTGGGTTTAGGGTCTGTCATCAAAACATACCAGTCAACCAAAAAATCATCACATTCACGGACAAATACACACATGTAGCTCTTCAGATCCAGTGATTTCAAGGAAAAGGAAAATCAAACTTTATGAAAAGGTTCTTTCTTCTCCGATGTTTTATTGCAGGGAGGAAGGAGGGGGGGGGGGGTGATCAACCGGCCTACAAAAATGAGACAAAAAGGTGCAAGGGGTTTGAACCCTCTGAGGGGTGTCCCCGGTCGAACTCTTCAACGGTACCCCCGGAGCGTGTTCCTCTGCTTGCCACAG